TATATATATATATATATATATATATATATATATATATATATATATATTATCACACTCCGTCGCAATTACGCAATGAAATAAACACACACACGGAACACTTAGTTCAAAAACACAATGACTTGCTTTAATTGAGAAGAAGCTACATAAAAAAAACAAGGAGACATGAAAGAAAAGCTTACAGAATCATTACACTTGACGGTAAAAATAGCAAGAAGGTCGAATTATAACATTGATCTCAGAAAACTTCGAGAAAACAAAATCACCGGCCGCCGAAACCACAAAGCGGCTCTAAATGAAAAACCTACCGACTCGCCGCAATGATTCTTCATTCACAGTTCAATTTAGCATTTCAGTTTCGAACACAAGGGCAATTTTGCTGTTTAAGATAAAGATTAAGCTTATCAAAATGTTTGAACTAAACGAAAGAATGCCAGGGATCCTACAAGGATGCCATCCGCTGAATATCAAGCGACAATCCCGCTAAAATTTTTTATAATTATACATAATTATGCGAATGTTTAGACAATCAACCAATCAAAATCACTACCCGGTTTTCGGGTAGTGAGTGACGTCACTGGATGGCATTAACGGCCGGTCGATTCAGACGTTGTTGAGAGGAGAAAATGACTCGCAGCAATTGGATGAATTTCAGGCTAACCAAATGCCACTTTAACCCTAAATATCAAAATAATAGTTCGGATCCTTTAAATCAATCTCCTGTCCTGTTTTAATGGCATTAATGAAGAGAACTTGTTCAAATGTCAACTTGTGAGAATTTATTTATGTGATAATTCTGTGCTTTTATGACATTATTTTATTAATTCCTAAGTTGGTAAAGAACTAATGCAAAAAGATACAAATCAGTCACCTTGGAGCTGTATTACAAAGTTCATTTGTGTTTAATTTTTTTGAGATATCTGAGAACATTGTATTTTATTATGGGTGCCTTCTCTGCTCAGACAAAGCATTCTTACGATATTGAGTTAATATATTATTTTTATTGCATTGTGATTTAAGGGAAATCCAGGAGAGTCCCAGCTGGAAAAGCTAACGCACATTGTAAACCGTGAACCTCTTGCACCAATTTTTGAACAGGAAAAAGAGCTTGTTTGGGAACGGAGGTTTGTTTGTAACTTTAATGACTTGAATGTGCTAAACGTTTGACTCACAGATTCCTTTTTTACAGTTTTCAGATGTATGCATTATAGCATTTTAAATCTGTGCCATTGCTTCTTACCTTTTAAATGGTTTAACACTCAGATTATTGCTGTTGCAGGATTGATGTTCGTGAGCACTTTCCTCACGCTTTAGCAAAACTGCTTTGTTGTGTTAAGTGGAACTGCAAGGAAGATGTCGCATTGGTAAGAGAAACTTAAGTAAATTATTGAATGGTTCAAAATGAAAAGGGGGACATGTGACAATAAAATTGAAGACTGGAAATGGAATTTGAAACTGAAAAGCTTTGTTTTATGGCCAAATTTAATTATCCTGCATGTGAGTTACATTTTAGAAAAGAGACTTGTAACTCAACAGAACATCTAAATGGGCTAGAACTATAGGGGACAGTCCTTTTGGGAACGAAGATCAAAGTATTTTAGACTAGGCACCATGTTGCTTGGTATTTATTTGCCAGTGCAAAAAGAGATTGCTTTTGAAAGTCGACAACATTTGAAAAACCTTTTATTTTTAGCCAAATCATCCCAGAAACCCTTTTTCCTTACAACCTTTTATGCTATATTACTACCTACTTGTGGTGTGATTTTTTTTGTCAGCTTTTCACTTTCATCAATTAGTTCAATAATTGATAATTTTTTTTTCAGATGCAAATCCTTCTTCAAACTTGGCCAAAACTAGAACCAGAGCAGGCGTTAGAGTTGCTTGATTACACTTTTGCTGACCGTGAAGTGAGAAAGATTGCTGTGGAATGCATAGAGAAAATGAGGTTTGCGTTGTTTTGCCTATGAATTTTAATTAATGATTTTGATAANGAGTAAGCTCATTTTTGAAAACGATGCCATCCGAAATCGGATTTCCAATGACTTTGACAAGCGGTGCATTTGTCAACAAAAAGCGCAATAAACAAACCAGCCACGAATTACAGAACAATCTTGATAGCAGCTGTATTTCATTTTGTACACCAAGTAGAAAAAGACAGTTTAAAACATCACAAGATGACACAAAACTCTGTCAGCTCCAGCTATCAGTAAGCAAGTTTCCAGACGCTGCATAAATTTTCCGCATAAACTCACCTGTCAAATTTTGACCAATCAGAACATAAAAATTGGACATAGAGCGTGATCAATGCGTGACAGTGAGAAAAGTCAAAAGCGATTGCCTTCCCTGCATGTAAATGTAAAAGCCGGTTGAATTTTTGTGTCCGAGATCAGTTCGAAATCAACATTTTAAAAGTGCGGCTCATGAAACACGACTTATTTCATATGCATTTTAAAAAAAATGAACTTGAGCCTGCGATCATTTGAAAAGTAGCAACTTGTCAGCGGATACCTTCAAAATATTACTCGAACTCAGAGGGTCGATACCTGAGCCCGCGATACGGTCAGCAGAAACACTGTTTTGACAGCTGTCAATTGATCAAAACATGGATGTACAATAACGAGTTGCAGGCTCCCAAACTAGCTAGAAAGTGTGAGATTAAACATTGGTATGACTGTGGTGCGGACGGACGGAATGTCGGGTGGTCGGTGTACGGTCACGTGATTGTCGAATTTTCTAGGATGGATAGATTTCTATAAAGGTTTGGGGCTTAGAATTGAGCCCGTGATCAAATAAAATATCAGCGGAAATCTTTAAACACTTCGTGACCTCAATAGATAGAAAAATGAGCCCGCGATCCACTCAGGTGATGATGGTCAGCGTATACTCTAGTTTGACAGCTGTCAATTAACCTTCATTAGAATGGTGAATATTCGAATTAACAGACTACGAGTGTGAGTAGGACATTTCAGTCCGGCATGTAGTGGAAAATGCCAGATCGTGTACCTGAGCGAACCTGAGCCCTTGTTATTAGTTTTCTGATAGCGGTCTGCACATGTTCTATTTTGACAGCTGTCAATTGACCTTAATGTGGCTTGCTAATGTAACTTTAAACGACTGTCAGCCAACTGACAGCCTTGCCCGGTGTAGTTTCGTTTTTATGTTGAATTGGTAAGTGTGACATATTATATCAGCTTATATATAGGGGCAAAACGACTGGTCTTTTATCTGAGCCCGCGAGACGGTCATGTGATAATTGTCAGCGGATGTCTGATTTTGACAGCCGTCAATCTAATCGTACTCATACGGATGGCTTACATAACTAAGAGGCTAGTCAAGTTGTACAAGATCTATTGTGACATTTGACATCGGCTTACATGAAGTGTGTGTACGGACGGGCGGGCGTACGCTACGTCATAACCAAATTTTCTCGGATGGATAGCTTACCAAATTTTCTTACCCATGGTGCTCCGCTGCGCGCTTTCCGCGCGGGAGCTCCGCTATAAAATCTGTAAATCTGTACACTTGGGTACTACAATAGATAAGTCAACATTCAGGATCCTCTTTGGAGACTTAGGTGTGTCTTGTCACTCCAACTGCAATGTAATGGTACATGTACATACAGATTTTACATAAGAAATAAGCAGAATGTTGCTAACTTTTAGCTACTTATACAATGTTTTTTTTTTCTTTTGAAAATAAGAATCTATTTGAGAACATAAATAGTTTAAATCTGTTCTAATTACCATTTGTGTAACAACCTGCTTAGGCTAACTTGGGAAAATGCCGCTTCTTACTCATTTTGTGGGTTTTTACTGTACTCTTGATATAACTGGTATATAACATAGCTCAATCTATCCAAGCTAATCCTGTACAACATTTTTGTTCAATTTTTCTGCAGTGACCGTGAGCTTTCCCAGTATCTTCTGCAGCTTGTCCAGGTATGCATGTCTAACCTCTCATTATTTTAATCAGTAGAGATGTAAGAATGACTTAGTGAAACCTGTATTATCAGGGGCAGATCCAGGATTTTTCTTAGGAGGGGGTGCAGAAGACGCAGGTCATCTCAGGGGGGTGGGTGCACATCCCCCTGCACCCTCCCCCTAGATTTGCCCCTGATTATAATGGCTACCCTTGGGACTTTGGAATGGTCGATGGCCAGTTACATACAAGAACACCTTATTCAATCCTTTATTCATTCAAAAAAAAGGCAATCAACTTTTGTGTCAGTGGTGTTTACCAGAATAGATGGATAAGTTTTATTTCAACTTTCATATTTAAAGAGTAGCATTGCTGCGCGTATCTCAAATTTAAAGAAATAAAATATATTAATAAAACAATCAAGGTCAATCGATGATAATATTAAAAATAATTTTGACTATATGACTATTTACAACAATGTACATCATTGAAAAAAAAGGGAACAAATTGCATTACAATAACTTATAGTGTCGTCTAAAAGTGGTATAAAAGCTACTTATATTACTAGCAGTTCCAGCAGTTCCAGCATAAAATCCAGAGATTTGTCTTGAAATAAGTAACGGAATTGAGACCACGTGTATAGATGTCCTCAGTTCGGAAGAATGAGTTTCCTTTTATCGCTAAGATTGTACCCTGAATTTCTTTCCATAAAGCGTGAGCTAAGATAAGTGGGCATTAGCTCATTTACACATTTTATTTTATAGACCAGAACAGACATATCCTGTAGACGTCTGTCCTCAGCGATGTTATGTTTAGTTTCTTATTGGATCTTTATATGAGCTTCTTGTATCATCCATCAGGGTGGCCCCTATCTTACCTCATCGTAGTATACTTTCAACAAAACTGCAAACATGTACTTAACTGTAATGTTGGAGTCGATGTATTGTTATGTAAAGGTACTTATTATTGTTCTCTAGTCTACAATCAGTATTTACAAGATTTTAAGTGCACGATGAAGTATCACAGTCCATTGTTGTGATAGTTTATATGTTATAGAGTGGTCTCCTAAGACAGTTAAAACAAAGTTCTTAAACAATAATGTTGGAATGCTTTTTAAGGTTGGCCACAGCCAGAAAAATAGAGTATTTGAAAGTGGACACTTATCAAAGGCCGGGTTGCTACTGACTACAGAGTCATTATTTACAGGTTTTTCCATGTTAACAAAATATTGTTTTTGCTTTGGTTACTGATCTGCAGGTTTTAAAGTATGAATCATACCTGGACTGTGACTTAGCTGAGTTTTTACTTAGAAGAGCTCTTAAGAATCAGCATTTTGGACATGAACTGTTTTGGCTTCTTAGGTGAGGAGGTTTCTGTGGAAGTTCATATTTGCAGCCATTCTCATTTAAAAGGACCCTACTGGTCAAGGAAAATCTTGTTTAGTAACTGGTGCTTCTAAAATTAAAGAGTACCTTTTAAAGAATAGCATGATTGGCAATCAGCTTTTGTTTTAAGTATTAGGCAAACACTGGAATTACTTTTCCCAAAAATTCAAATAGGTGGCTTGTTCTACCTCAGAGAAGTTGTGTTTTGAAATTCCAAAACAATTTTACAGCGGAATTTTGAAGGAATTTTATGTAATGGACTTCTGTTCCAACAATTTCTTTAAAATGACTGGCAGGTTTATTACTAAAAAATATCAATAAAGGGCGATATCAGAGATCTCAGTCAAAAATATCAGCAAAATTTTTACCATACATGATTTTCTTTGAACAGTAGGGTAATGACTATTTTTAATATAACAATAAAAAATGCACCTGTGTAATAATGACGGAGCCACCTTAACAGTAATGGAAATAATAATGTTTAGGTTACCAGTATGTATATAAATATCCAGTTATGGTAAGTGCAATGACTATTTTTGCAACAATAACATTTATAATACCTTTGTACCGGTGCTATTGTTTTAAGGATAATGGAGTTACAAAAGTCATATGAAATTATTATTTATGCACAATACATTGTCAAAAAATGTTTTAGATGTGTCTAATATATTGTAAGCCATCACTGATTCGTTGGGTAAATAATTTTTGGCAAGTGGGCCAATTTCTATAGATCTATGGGTCATTAGTGGCTCATAACAATCAAATGGCAAAGTCACAATACAGTAAAAATCCACAAGAAAGACACTGGTTTTTATGAACCTGTTAGGCAAAATTTGCCAGCTAGGTCCCCTCTATACAAGAATGGGTTTAGCCTAAATTTTGAAGCAAGTTTTAATTTTATAAAATCTGTAAATCTGTTCACTTGGGTACTACAATAGATAAGTCAACATTCAGGATCCTTTTTGGAGACTTAGGTGTGTCTTGTCACTCCAACTGCAATGTAATGGTACATGTACATACAGATTTTACATAAGAAATAAGCAGAATGTTACTAACTTTTAGCTACTTATACAATGTTTTTTTTTTCTTTTGAAAATAAGAATCTATTTGAGAACATAAATAGTTTAAATCTGTAATAATTACCATTTGTGTAACAACCTGCTTAGGCTAACTTGGGAAAATGCCACTTCTTACTCATTTTGTGGGTTTTTACTGTACTCTTGATATAACTGGTATATAACATAGCTCAATCTATCCAAGCTAATCCTGTACAACATTTTTGTTCAATTTTTCTGCAGTGACCGTGAGCTTTCCCAGTTTTTGTGAAGATTATAAAAAGACCTTTTCATCGGAAAGAAAAGTAAAAAACATCCCAATTTCGTTTAAATTCTTGAATTTGGGCTTTCTAAGTTTGATGTGTTAGGAACTATTCTTTGCTGTTTCTGTTTAATATTTTAGGACAGAAGAGAGAAAGGTTTAGCTACAATGAAAGAACTGCTACGTCAGAAAACATACCAAGGAGCTCTGTCCAAAATTAACTCTCCTTTGGATCCGAGCTTCAAACTACGACAGTTGAAGTATGTTAAGCTTGTTAGAGGATGTTATAAGCACTTAGCAGTGGCAAGCCACTTTTCTTTATTTAATTAAACCTTAGTGCAGGGCTATATAAAAGCCACGGCACAGGTTTAGCCATATAAAAATATCGTACTGACTATGTTTTCTGTCCTGTCCTAGCCACTAAGTTAAATTTCACTGATGCCAACGAGATCAAACGCTAAGAAGTGATTTGAATTAATCACTGCGTTTTTTTTTCCATTCCATTTCAGTATCGACCAATGCAAGTTTATGGATTCGAAAATGCGGCCGCTGTATTTGGTGTTTGAAAATTTAGACGAGATGGGAGATTTTGTGCGTATAATTTTCAAAAATGGCGATGGTAAGTGTTTACTGTAGGTCGCTAAATGGAACTTCTGTCATTTAGCTATTAGCCATCATTAGTCTACGCCAGCAGCAGCAGATGGCAAACTCGAGATTCAAGTTGAACATTTCTCAAATTAGGAAATGAACGGATACAAAATATCTGGAGAAAATTCTTATGGATGATCCTGACGTGAAACTGTTTATTTTGTGGAGAGATAATGAAAGGGGAAACTGGTCACCAGGGAAGCTACTTTTTGCTGTTGGTAATAGTAGAATGGTGAATTAAAAACGATCCAAACTGTCCTTTTCCGGTCTGTAGTGGCTAATTAATTGTTTGAGGGACTCCTTTGTTAATCTTCAATAGTCTGCGAAAAGGCTGCGACACGAATATACATAGTGGTCGAGGGCTACCAGTAACTGTTAATATAATAGAGAATGATTCTAGTACCGTAAACTGGTTTTGATGAGTCCCCCTACTTACAATTATTAGCTCCCCCCTCCCAGTTGAAGGCCCATCCACCGGTGAACAAAAAAATACGTTCTATTATTAGCCCCCGACCCTCCAAATGTATTGAAATGAAATTGATTTATTATGACGTTTTGAAGCCTAAAACACCAGTAAATACAAAACGTATTTTGATCAGCACTGCTATAGCTCTATTTCCATTATAAGCCCCTCTCGGATATACGCCTCTCCGTTTATAAACCCTCTTAAAACTCCTGTGGAGAATTTATAAGCCCAGGGCTTATTAAGCAATAGCTTTCGGTATTCAACATGTCAGCAGCATGGAGAGCTGAAAATGATCATTCTTCGGCCTTGAAGGGCATAAGCCCGACTAAGTCACCATTTTGGTCTGACGAGACAAAAATGTGATCGGACTCAATCAAGGACGCATTAAAGTAGGTTTCTCTAACGAAAATGCCGGGTTTATGGTAGTCGTAGGATTCGCAGTTAGACCTTTACTGCAATAACTGATAGCAAGGGATGGCGCAAAGGTGAGAGCCTTTCTCTCCTGGTACTCTGGTGTTCCCCTCTCCTAAAAAAGTAAACCAACATTTCCAAATTCCAATTCGACCAGGAATCAGGGAATTGAAGAACCGCTTCGTGGATGTGCTACCTCTAAATCATTATTTATTTATTTGTAATGTTATTTGGTTGACATGATCATTCACACGTTAACAAGGTAGATTGTGTTCCTCTGCAGAGTGATAGTCTTTGCTCAGTATTAACTTTGTCCGGATATGATGTGCAACCACATTATATTAAGATCATTCCTAGGACATGGGCCGCTGACCGGCTGCTTTGCGCATGTGCCCAAAAGAAACGAAAAGAAAGGAAATGAGAGAAAGAAAAAGCTGGAAAAGCCAATATGAGTGTAGAAGGGGCCGAGACCATGCATTTACTGCACCAAGCTTATTAGCACGACTGAAATAAATTAGATAAAGTCACACGAAAAATGGAATTTTTGTTTTGTTGTAAGGTATACTTAAAGTATAATGAGTTTTTTTTTTTAAATAATGTGATCAGATCTTCGACAGGACATGTTGACTCTGCAGCTGATCAAAATCATGGATAGGATCTGGCAAAATGAAGGACTAGATCTTGGGTGAGTTGAAACTTTATGACGACTTTCTTGTTCATTTGTATATGGAATGTTATCTGTGAAGGGACACAAATGGTGTTGCCTGGCGCCCTTTTTCAGTTTCATTTGTTATCTCACACTTGTAAACATTGTGTATCATGTCAAACAGTAGGCTGATTCTACGCCTGTTATTTGCTAGTGACCAGCGTTCCTCCACGGCTANGTGGATGTGCTACCTCTAAATCATTATTTATTTATTTGTAATGTTATTTGGTTGACATGATCATTCACACGTTAACAAGGTAGATTGTGTTCCTCTGCAGAGTGATAGTCTTTGCTCAGTATTAACTTTGTCCGGATATGATGTGCAACCACATTATATTAAGATCATTCCTAGGACATGGGCCGCTGACCGGCTGCTTTGTGCATGTGCCCAAAAGAAACGAAAAGAAAGGAAATGAGAGAAAGAAAAAGCTGGAAAAGCCAATATGAGTGTAGAAGGGGCCGAGACCATGCATTTACTGCACCAAGCTTATTAGCACGACTGAAATAAATTAGATAAAGTCACACGAAAAATGGAATTTTTGTTTTGTTGTAAGGTATACTTAAAGTATAATGAGTTTTTTTTTTTAAATAATGTGATCAGATCTTCGACAGGACATGTTGACTCTGCAGCTGATCAAAATCATGGATAGGATCTGGCAAAATGAAGGACTAGATCTTGGGTGAGTTGAAACTTTATGACGACTTTTTTGTTCATTTGTATATGGAATGTTATCTGTGAAGGGACAAAAATGGTGTTGCCTGGCGCCCTTTTTCAGTTTCATTTGTTATCTCACACTTGTAAACATTGTGTATCATGTCAAACAGTAGGCTGATTCTACGCCTGTTATTTGCTAGTGACCAGCGTTCCTCCACGGCTACCTTGATGACTTTCCGTTTGCAATCATAGTAACCCGCTGTAATGTTAAGCTCTTGCCAGATTCAAACACTCGCTTTTGTGTCAATTGATTGGTTGATCATAAGTTGCACTGCTTGATACGCTCTCAAATGTTCAGGTTTTTAGTTTAGGTAAAGCCTATGCCTGACTGTAATAACGGACCCATATTATCTGTATTTTCACTACTCTGTTTTTCACCTTTCCAGCATGATTCCTTATCGTTGTTTATCGACTGGTAGTTCCATTGGAATGATTGAGGTTGTTTATCAAGCAGAGACGTTAGCCAAGCTACAGAAAACCAAAGGAGTTACTGCTGCCTTTGGTAAAGACTCTATATGGGATTGGCTGAAGATATATAACGTCACTGACGAAAGGTTTGGATTCGCATGTTCTGCTTAGCTTAGTTTTAAGCCCTGATTTCTTTATTCTATATCCATTGTTGTGATTGAGCCTTCTGTGTTTTGAGTCAGACATGCATTGTATGACTTTTTACGGTGTAGTTTCTTACAGCGCAGCCTAATAATGAACCCATACACAGTCCATACACAGGGAGACCATACATCCCATTAGAATACAAAATCTCATTGATGCCGGGTCTGGAGACAAGAGTTTCACTAGGAAGGACATTGGACGGCTTGAAATTTAAAAAAGATTAAAATAATGAAGCCATTTTGTCGGAGAGATAAGTGACTTGTTTCACAGGGAAACCAGGCGACCGTGTGTATTTTTTAAATTTAAAATGGTTGTCACATACATCGATAGACCTAGCCATACCGGCCTATCGCGGATATACAAGGAAACAATTCAGTTTGATTATGTTTGTCTAGTTTGTCAGAGGCAGTAGAGAGGTTCACGCTGTCCTGTGCAGGGTACTGTGTGGCAACGTATGTCCTGGGGGTCGGTGACAGACACAGTGACAACATAATGGTGAAGAAAACAGGGCAGGTAAGTTTAATAACCAATCAGAACTGATAAAATATAACGCGCGGGAAAGATCGCGTGACCATACTCTTTCCACTTTTAGTCAACGTGTCCCTCGGTAGTTTGCCCCTGAGAAGGGAACAGACCGCGTGATGGTTTTCAGCCTCTAAAGGTTATAGTTGTCGAGAATTGATTCAAATTAAAAGAGAATAACAGCCGCATATCGTCACTTATAGTTTCGCCTCACCCCAGGCTGCCGCCCGGTTAGCTCGATTGGATAAACGCCTGTCTGCTGAGTGGCAGACCGCTGGTTCAAACTTCAGCCAGTCCAACACTCCGTCTTCTCTGTAGGCCCTGGGTTGCAACCCCTGGAAATATGATGAATTCTGTAGTATGTTAGAACCCATACGCTGTTAGTTAAGAGTTGGGGATGTAGTCCACAGTGTGCTGGTCTATGTCAAATTCACACTCATGACAGTTTGGTAAAAGTTTCTTAACCAGTGTTGTAAATTATCCCTGGAGAACTCTGCGGGGAGTGAATAGTAGATAGTAATATTTTCTATGACAGTTTGGTAAAACTTTCTTAACCAGTGTTGTAAATACCGCCGCCTGGTTAGCTCAGTTGGGAGAGCGCCGGTCTGCTGAGCGGGAGGTCGCGGGTTCAAACCCCGGCTGGACCAACACTTAGGGTCTTTAAATAACTGAGAAGAAAGTGCTGCCTTTGTAATGACATCTGCAAATGGTTAGACTTTCTAGTCTTCTCGGATAAGGACGAAAAACCGTAGGTCCCGTCTCACAGCATTGTCACTGATCTGTTCTTGTGGGACGTAAAAGAACCCACACTACTGTTCGAAAAGAGTAGGGGTTGTAGACTCCGGTGGTGTGGCCAACCTTTACGGGTTGTGGGATTGGGTAGGGATGGCACCTTGCATGGGACCTATGAGTCCCGTTCGTGCCTATTCCCTCTGGGCAGGCCTGTGTCCAGAAAAGCTTGCAAAACAAAACAAAACATATAAATTATCCCTGGAGAACTCTGCGGGGAGTGGATAGTAATACTTTCTATAATTTTTGTTGCTGATCGGACAGAGTGACCGAAGAGTTTATCCCAGTCTATTGTGTTTGTAATTTATGGTATAACTGTTCATATTCCTGCTATTCCTGCTACAGCTTTTCCACATTGATTTTGGACACATCCTTGGAAATTTTAAGAGCAAGTTTGGCGTTCGAAGAGAAAGGGTTCCTTTTGTGTTAAGTGATCAATTCGTTACTGTGATTTCTGAAGGTAAAGGAAAGGACACGCCCCAGTTTGAAAGGTAATTCTTAACTTTACTATAGAGCGTTTTCACTCACGTGACCAGCATTTATGCAAATCTATTGGAACGATAGAAAGCGTTTACACAGGAAAAGAGTTCAACTGCCACAGGATTGGTTTGTGACACCAACATGGCCGCCGTTTCACTGTTTTGGGACACCAATATGACCGCCGTGACGTCATATGAAAACACTCTACAGAATCAAACCTGTAAACGAATCAGGTTTTGAGAACTAATGCAGACACCTTTAATAACTAGTTCGTTAAAAGCTATCCTCACTGACGCGAGTTTCCACAGAATAAAAATGTTAGCGGGAAGTGGACAGAGACCGCTTTGTTTCTTTCAACCAAAGTTGGATGAAACAAATGGGAAAAACTCAAAGTAACAGTTTCTCAAGGTGTAAGCTACTCACGTGACTATTTTCAAGGTCTCACCTAAAAGATACACTTAATTTACAACAAGGCGTGCCGAGACAATGACCGAGTTGTTTCTGTTCAAGTTGTTCCTCGAGAAAAACACGCTAGAAAAAGAAGTAGGCACCCGCGTGGATCTCAACAGTTCTCAGTCCGCTATCGCGAGCTATTGCGTGTGCTTCTTTACTAAGTAATAAAAATATATATGCAACTATATTACATGAAAGGTGGACGCCCTTAGATAACTTTTTTCATCCGGGATTTCGGGCCAAGTAACCTGCGAGAGCATTCGGTTTTTTCGGCTCAAGTTTCTAGTTTCACCCGGTTTTTCTCGGCGGGTGAAACTAGAAACTTGAGACGAAAAAACCGGATGCTCGCGCAGGCTACGGGCCAAGGAGCAAGTGAAAAATTGTTTCAATTGTTTTCACTGTCGGCTTCTTGTCATACAACGTTTTTAACTTTTGCAATGATGTTGTGTTTTTAGGTTCAGACAGATCTGTATAAACGCTTTTCTAATTCTCCGCCGTAAAGGACCTCTTCTTATCAACTTGTTTGTCATGATGTTATCCGCTGGCCTCCCAGAGCTACGTTCGCTTGATGACATCGGTTACTTGCGCAAGACTCTTGTTTTGTCTCTCACAGAGGAAGAAGCCGTGAAAGATTTCCAGAAAAAGTTTGATGATGCTCTGAACAACAGCTGGAAAACATCGGCCAACTGGTTAGCGCACAACTTGAAAAGAGATAATCCTTAATGATCAGGACCAATGCAGTTCTAGCTTTAGCTCACGTTACATTGCATCATATTAGCCTTAGATTCAGCAAGTGCTCTGGGACACTTTCCTGTACACGTTAGTTTTCTCTTGGTATTCTCTTGTGAGCATTCCTTGGAAACAATTCAACCTGCAAACTTAATGTGCACTCTAGGCCAAGTTATTCTCAGGCCCCGTAACGCGTTGATATGGAGAAAACGTGTGTGTGGTATTGACCCGCCTAGATATAAACACTGGCTTGCCCAGTCGGGTCAACTTTGTCGAAGCGAGACAATCAGGGTATGCGCGAGTGCTGTTGTAAAAATAAAGTTGACACTGCGGGAGGGGTGACCGTCTTTCCCTGGACAACTTTTTTCCATACAAACGGGACCTTAAAGAGTTTAATTTGCGTTCATTCATATTAGAGTTTTCGCACACTTTGATGATTGGTATCCATTTCTAAAATGTCATAACGAAGGCAAAGTTTTAGTAAAACTTTTTTTTACGATCGGTTTTCCATCGTTTCAGTATACTATAGGCTAGGGCATATTGCTCTGTTTTTTTTTTTTTACAAAAGTGAAAACTGGTCTTAGAAATGTGAATTATTTCGAGTCAGTTTAATTGCTCGTCAGTAGTGCTTTTATTAAAGTTTAGTCTACTTGATAAATACATCGTTAGATAAAATAACATGATCTCTGAATACGAGGAAATATTTTCTAAAAAGTTAATATTTCGGTTTAATCCAAAACCATTTTCAAAATTATGAAAAAAAATTCAAAAACTTGCTGAGTTAAATGCAAGTATTCAAATTATAAGCCACAAAACGGTTCATTTAGTCGCTTTGTAGTGGCTTTAGATATTCTGGGATCTAATGATGAACGAGTAGCGGGAAACAATGTTTAGGTTACTAGGATTGGAGTGTTACTAAAAGGTCATGTTACACGAGACGATTCGCAACGACGATTTTTGGCACAACACAGCGTTGCCACGTTGTTGCGACATTGTTTTGAATGCTTGCAACATTGTTCCAACATTGCAACGCTGTGTTGCGCTAAAAATCGTCGTTGAGAATCGTCCCGTGTAACATCACTGTTACGTCTCGTATGTTTAGTCAGCGAATATATCCGGGTCTCTCCTGGGCCCAGTTGCTCGAAGCATGGTTGGCGTTAACCAGCGTTTAATACCTTGACAACGTATTTGTTTTGATACTGCTTAATCAATGGTTAAAGCTAACCATGCTTTCCGCTAGGGAGGTTACGCAAGAGCGGTGAAGTGTGAGGAGAGACATCTATATTTGCACTCTAGCGTTAGTCTAGCGTATGTTATGTTATTTTGGAATTCCCCAAACGGCTCGGCAAGCTACTTGGCTTGGTTGCATTTACTCCACTTTGTTGGAGTTCTCTGGACTAAAATGAAAATAGAATATTGTTACAATTTTTTTAACGGCGCTGCAGTATAGTTAATTTGTAAGATAGATGTATTTAGCGTGTGGCGTAGTTTTGACTACTATTGTGGTGTGACATAATTTATGTACAATTTTTTGGTAGGTAGGTAGGTAGGTAGGTAGGTAGGTAGGTAGTTAGGGCCTGTTTACATGGAGGTGGGGGACCCCTGGTTGGTGAGGTATTATGTGGCGGGTCACCCCGCCTAACATGTAAACGTGAACACATTAAAATGAGAGATTATATGAACAGGCGGGTTACCTGACCTACCTGGGGTCCCCCACCTCCATGTAAACAGGTCCTTAGTAGGTAGTGTGTGAATTTTTCTAAAAAAAAAATGCTTTTTGCAAAATATTAGTTTGGGAAAAAGTGAACTTGAATTTTGCTTGTTAAGAAACTTTCTTACTAAGATATCTTACAGAACTGTAAATGCTTTTGAAAGCTTGGTGAAGTAGGTTTTAATAAACTCATCAGTTTGATATAAAATGTGAAATTCTCCCTCCCCCAAGAGTTTGAATTTTTCAAAGCAAGTCCAGTATGATTATCGTCTTTTTTCTTTCGTTCTTCGTCTGAACACCAGTCATGGACAAATGGTGTAGAATTATTGAAGGCAGTTAGAGCTGTAACATCGTTCATCTCTCAAACGTCCTTGAAAATTTAGTGCCGGGATAGATCGTAACTTTTACTTCTTGTAAGGTGTAGATTGTAACAACTATAAATGACAAAGTTAAGACTGAGCAGCGAAAACACCGGTAAACACTTAGCCGTGTTATCAAAAAGTAGTTACCACACACGGATACAGATATTTGGCAACAACAAACTGCTTTTACCTTCCAACCATGCTGTTATAATCTTCTTGTCAGAGCCAGTTGTTAAAGAAACAAGAGTCGTAGGAACACAGAATACAGATCATTGAAGTTTTTGTTTTTCTTTTGACTGAATTTTGATCAACCTTGTTTACCGGTTGCTTTCGATCTTGTTTTTGTTGTTGTTGTTTTTTGCTTACGACATGTGACCGAATAGGTCTCGTTTAACTTTGAGGGAAGGACGAAAAAACCCAGGGAGGAAATTGTACTTAGTCTCTTATTGCTAATCGTCTTTAGTATGAAATCTAGCCTCCCTAAATACATTGCATACAGTTAAATTGAACTTAAAAAGAGGTTCAGTCATGTCGATTATGACATTAATAATTTTTACAAGTAAAAGGTTTGAACATTTTAAATAAAATACCGAGTACTTCGGTGTCAAGTCAATAAAAAGGATATTGAAGCTGCCATGTGTTTTCTTTGTTGTTTTTGCTTTAGAGGGGGGTTTCTAATAATCCCGATAGATTATCTGGCAGCTGTTAATAATAATCTTCAATCCTTATTGGTTGCGTGAATCAAATTCCTGATAAACTATTGGTGGATTAAAATAATCCCTTATCAAATTTCAATAGGGTACAGCCATATTGGATGTTTATAAATGATATTGTCTTCAAAATGTTTACAGATTAACAAATTTCAGGGCTTTCATCTGTGAAACATTTGCTCTCGAGCGGGAACGAAGAAGAATGGAAAGCGAGGAACCGTCAATTCACTTCAATTGCTTCGTGCATTATCCAGGCTTTACGGAAGAGGGGCTAGAGGAACAAACTGTCGCGCGCGGAAATGGTATTCAACTATCTCCCAAGACTCAACTTTCTAGTCTCGCAGCGAACGTTTTGAGCGAGATGTTTCAAAAGCAAGAAATTGACGGCAAAGTCATAATGAAAGCGGACAACGCGAAAGGTGAGTGCGTGAGATTTGCTCTTCCTTAGATTTGCATTGTTACTCGTACCTGTACCTGTTGTAGAGTTCAGCGTCAAACTGGCCTTAAAATACTTTTAATGATATCCGTGCTCATTTTATTGATCTGCTTTCATTAGAAATAAAATCGGCCATGCACGTCCAGATGAGAGGTGAAAACCGTCAGAAGAGATTCCCTTTTGCGGAAGAAACATATCGGAAAATACTTTCCTTACAAAGAAATTGTTGCTCATCCATTGACCTGCTTTTAAAAAGAAAATATCACCTGGTGAATGTTGCGTTAATTTCAACGTGTTGTTCCAAGAATACGGACGTTTTGAAAGGCTAGTTTTTTTTAAATCACCTTCAGTGATGTTAAGTGTTAGAATCATGTAATTTTCTAGAAATAATTTTTGTCCTTTAGAAAAAATAAAGAATCCTAGAGAGCTTGAGAAAACGGCCTTCACATCATGAAACTCAATAATTAATTACTTTGAAATCGATTATCCACATCTTTCCTGCCGCCTGTTTATTTTCTCTTCCCCATATTACGCAGTTTCATAAAATACCGTCTTAAACTTCAGGCCCCAGTTGTTCAAACGTTGGATAGCGCTATCCAGCGGATAAATCACTATCCAGCGGATAGCGTAATTGATTTCCGTAATACTTATCGGCTGGATAGTGATTTATCCGGTGGATAGCGCTATCCAACGTTTGAACAACCGGGGCCTGGTGTGATCATGCGTACGCTGAAAGGATGAAAATGTTATTTAATTTGGCAGTGAGTAGGGGTGAGGTGGGTAGAGATGAATGGCGCCCCTCCCCACCCCACCCCTCACAAAGACACATAGAAGGAAAAGGTTTCATGAGAACACAAGGCTGTGCTCTAAAGAAAAATAAATTGAAGGGAGCGAAGTGTTCTAAACCTGTGAAATCCAGGGTGCCCAGAAGATATGCTCTCTATGAAAGAAGTAAAGTTTTCGAGTTGCCCGTGAACTAGCTACAAATCATACCGAAGTTCAATGCATACTTTAGGTACATTTGTGTTTATAAGATTGATGTTTACTATTTACGGCTGTTACATTTAATTTCCATTCATTTCATTACTGCTTTGTACCACTTAATGGCACTAGAAGTTCGAAGCATTTTTATTTACCACAATGCAGGACTAATATAAGAAAGTTCTCCATCAGTTTCCAAGGTCCTAAATTTTTTAACTCTCTTAGTTTTGAAATTCGAAATGCAACAAGTACCGCTTCCTTTTGCTGTAAGCTGAAAGCATTCCTCTTATCATAAATAATAATTTATATATATATATATATATGTATTTTTTTTTCTTCCTTTGCTCTTTTATTTTGTTTTGTTTTGTTTTGTTTTTTTTTTCTTTTTGTCATTTCGCTTTTTTAGCCTAGAACTATGATTAGTACGACTATCTAATATACTTATTTTAAGATTTACTGTAGCTCTGCCATTGATTTTCCCGTGTGTAATTATGATAATATTTTGTTCTAATTATCTAACTGAGGGAGCCCATTCCTTATAAGCCCGGTGGCTTCTCTTGGGCTTCCTCGCCATGAGAGTTAAGGTAATTAGATTTTATTTGATTTGTATAATTTTTGGCAAACAAAACAATAAACAATAAACAATGACATTTATGAAACTGAACCCCTGGGTAATGATCCCTTATCTGTAAAATATGATCCCCCAAAACCAATGAAGATTTTGAAAATGACCTCTCAGTAAAATGGTCAGCCTCTCTCACAGGCAATAAGTGACCAGTCCCTTAGGTCAGCTCCTGGTTATTTGGTAGAAGTGCATCACATTTTTTATGAGCTGGTTTTACTATCTTTGGTTTTATTAGTAAGACATTCAAAATGTTGCTGAGCCTACTAGAATTGTAGCCAGATTTAAATTAGTGCAAATTTTTTTGGAAATAACTTGATTTGTTGATAAACTTTTTGTGTGGCCGAAGTTAAAACATGATGAACAAAACTTTTAAAATAACAAAACAAAAATGATAGAAAGAATACTTTCCAACAGGTCAAAGAACAGATTGATTTGGAGGTTGAATATTATTGTACGAAACCTAATTAGTGTTTGAGACACAGTCTTTAAAGCCATACCTTAATGGGACCATGGTACAGATTGGTGTACTGAAGCAAGAACAGCCAGTTATATCCTTTGAATTCTTGAATTCCTTCCTTACATGATATTTGGTAAGGGTATTGTTATCAAGCAGATGTTTTTCTTTATTCCTAAAGTTCAAACTTTCTGGTGTGGTTTAACTCACCATGCGATATGTGATGTACAGTCAAAACTGCATGACCATTCATAAAGAAGTTCAAATTTCTATCCGCTTCATTATCAATTCTTCCTTTTTTTTTCCTTTTACTGAAAGCTTCAGTATCTTTTATTTTCAAACAATTTTGTAATTTATTGGATTTGTTTTTCTTCCAAGTTTCCATTTTGAGTAGTCACACTGTAAATTTAACAATGCTTGTAAGCAACATAACTGTCTTGCTCTGAAACAAACATGATCTTAGCTCTAAACATGGTGGTAATCTTCTCATTAATCTGTTTGTTAACAGTGTTTATTCAAGTGCGAGACCACTGGAAACCACATCCACTAGCAGATTTCACTAGAGAGGGAGATTTGGAAGTATCTTTACTTGAAACGTTTGGAGAAATATTATTTGCCAAAGATGCTGTGATAAGCATTCATGTCCATCTGTGTTACGAGTAAGTCTGTTATTTTAATACATCATATTATGTACCTTCTTGTGCTTCTGCCAGTTTGTGTGCAAGATCCTCAATCCCCTGCTACATGTACATGTACATTGTTCCAGAAAATATTTCACTTTGTTACAACACCCTTTGAAACCTCAGTAAGCTAAGGTCCAGCCAATTAATGCTGTAAATTTAATCAATTTTTAATGTAAACTGTATTTTTAATATACTTTGCAAATAAAAAATAGTGCATGCTATGTAGTGGAACCTCGGTATAAATATGAACCTCTATACAACGATGTCCTCAGTATAACGAACAATTTTCTTTACCCAGTAATACTTAAATGTATGAAAAAGGACCTTGATATAGCAAACAACAATCGCCTGCCTTTCGTTAAATCAAGGTTCCACTGTAGACCATTCTTAACCTTAAGTGACCTCTGTTAGGGTTCATACAGAGTCTTGAATTTTCCAGACCTGGAAAAAGTCTGGAAAATGGAGGTAAAGTCTGGAAAAGTGGTAAAAAATCTCGAGTTTTATATTCAAAGCTACAACAGGTGCTTTATATAAAGTCTGGAAAAAGTCTTGAATTTTGGATCCAAAAATCTGTACAAACCCTGTCTGTTAGTCTCCCTCGCCGCAGTTTTTGTCTCATCACATAATGGTCCTCCTCAACAAACAGCTGATAACATTCAAAGCACATTCCTTTCCAATAACAATTATTGTTTTGTTCATCCACAGAAATGACCAATCGTTTATTAGTAAACTGAAAATAACGTCACAAAGAATGTGCTCCTGTGATTTCCAGTTGCATCAGAGGTGTCAGCCATGACGGGCCAGGTTCTATTTTGCTAAATCATTAAAACTGAATCGAAGATTGAGGTTTTGCGTGAAAAAAACTGAAAAGCACTTTTTGCCCTGAAATGGGTGACTGTACAATGCTTGGTATAAAAGCTGGATCATTAAATTCCCATTGAGGGAATTTTTTTTGGCAAGAAACAGCTAATTGTTATCAGATTATCAGCATTTTTCATCAGTCCTGTCACATGTAGACGCAGACCAGATAAGATTGGGTAAAGCATACGCGCGCGTTTCTAAAATAATAATCATTAATGCAAAAAACACAAATACTGCTTTGAGTAGACATTAGTTTCAATTCTCACCCGGATAAGTAGTCAAATCGTAGCATATTCAAGTCTGTTTTATTCAAAACAAAAAATGTATATGACAAGGCAAATATTAACAACTTTCTAGGAGACAACTTGATGCCATAAATGATTTGATAGAATGCAGGCTATGAATGGATGGCATGTGAAAGGATTATTTCGTGTAAAACAGTTCCAGAAAATAGAACCATAGCTGTGATTGGTTCAGATCGGGAAGGGAATGTGGTTCAAAGGTGAGCAGCTGTTTGTTGGGGAGGAGTGTTGTGTGACGAAACAAAATGGCTGTGAGGGAGATTACCTATCTGTGGATTGACCTTTAAATTTGTACTAAAATCTTTCCTTTTTGAAAGGTTTTTTCCGATTTGAACAGCCTATCCAGCATGAAAACTGGTGTAGTAGAAAAAGAAGCTCTCCCTTTAGTCTAAAGTTTCAGAACTACAAAAAAAATACATTTAATTCAGACACTTGGTTGTTTTCACCTTACTTAGAAGCATCTGACCTGTATACTGCAGGGTAAACTCTTTTAAAGGTGGACAATGTTGGGTTGAGCAGACATAGAGACATGTCTGCCTGACTGACAGGTAGTAAAAAAAATGACTTAAAAGCCCGGTTATCCAGGATGGCTTGGCTCACGTCTTGTTTCCTTTTAAAGTTTCTGTTGTGTTTATATGAGGCTGGCCCGTTTGCCAAGATCTTGGCTTGAACAACCAGGACCTTGGGAAGTTGGGTCAGCCCACCGTCTCATATAACACACAAAATGTTTATGAGGAAACAAGGCATGAGCTGAACTAGCCCTGTGAACTTGACTGGCTCATCTCATGTAAAAAGACCATAAGAATTGCATTGATGTAATTAAATGCAGGTGGCCGTTTGAGGGAGTTCTCCATTAAAATTACAAAAAATAGTAACTGTATTTTTGTTAATGCAGTAAAGATTGGGACGACCAAAAAGTTAAGGCAGCTATCAAAAAGCTTCTAGAACACTACAGCCAAACACACCTGGAACGCATGATGTGTCCTTTTTCTCAGGTAATTTATTTTATTTTAACTTGGAATCTGGATAAACTTCGACTGTAAAATTCCTTAATGTACACTGAAATGCTCTCATTCTTAATCTATACATTGTGTATTAACAAAGGTTGTTAATTTCCCCTATTGCCTTAAAAAAGGGAGCACGGTGTTCTTTTAAAGGTCAGGGTACATAAAAGGCATACAATCAACTTGTAATTGCTTGCCAAAAAACTGCATTAAAGCCAGAGGTTAAAAGTAAACAATAAACTTTTATAAATAGCCTGCTTTTTTTGCTTGATAGAAGATGTGTACGTTTTGGATAATAAGATTGGTTAGGAAAGAGTAGACCAAAAACATAAGAAATCAGGCCAAGATTTTCAAGTTTGATTGTGTTATTTTAAGTGGAAAATCACCTAAAATCATAACTTTCACCTTCGAGACTAAATGGATTGTCGTTCTCTTGTAATTTTGCTTCAGTGAATGCAACATCATGATTTTTCCCAGTTTACTGTAGTGATACTGCCCTGTTATGGGAGCTTTTTCGTTAATAATATTTATTGTTCCATCAACATTATTTGCTTTAACTTGTCTCTGACATAATTATGTTGGGTGAAATAGTGTATTTTTTTTTTAAACAAATGATTTAAGTTAATGATACTTTTTGTTGTAGGGTATGCTGTCACAAATATCAAGAGACCAATATCCCTGCCGTCTTTCATCTGAAAAGATTAAGCTTTTTGCGGCTTGGTATGAACATTCTCAATTGAGCAAGGAACAAGAAGAGGAAGGCTCGATGTCTCCTGGAAGGAAAATGCTTTTCACTCCACGCGGGAAGAAGATTGTGTTCAATGCTGCAGTGGAAATTCCACTTTTGAGAAAGTGGTATGAGGAGAATCCTAAACCAGATCTAAAGGATTTAACAGGATATGCTGAAATCCTGAACAGTTTGGAAGAACGAAAGTCAAAGGAACAAGTACTGGCTCGTCATGTGAATACTTGGTTCAAAAATGAAAGAGCAAGGTTAAGGAGGGAAGGACTTTTAGAGGACTTGTCCAGACCTTCCATGGCTGTTGTAACTACTTCTTAGCCAATCATAATATTATTTTAAAACAAGTCTTATTAATGTAAAATATAATATTACATGTAAACAAGTCTTTTCTCTGCTAGCACAATATACATTTTGTATCCTGTTAATGATCAACCCCTAATTTAAAAAAAATGATAGCAAAGGGGTTGGAGTAAGCACTTTCCCCAAAACAAAGCTGGCTGCTTCCAGGGAACTAGACTTTCTCAAAAGCCATTTCCAATTTCTACCGTTTAGGTCGTCTGTTGGGAAACGGTTATACTGTTGCTATGGTGACCTGTCATTCTTGTGATTGCATGGGGACTATTAAAATGAAAAAGAAGAGTAAGTTGTGTTTAAATAGTTCATTCCAGTGCAAGTTTTGGAAAATGCTGAACAGTTTAGGGCGGCTATGGAAAATCACATGATAGACTAATAAGTTTTAGGAAGGAAAATGTATTGATAACTATTAACCTTTTTTAATTGCAAATCTAGCTTATACCCTCTCACCTCTACAGAATCTGCAATGTAAGATAAACTGTTGGTTCCCTGCGTGATTTTTACCTTGTGATTTGCTCATGAAAATACAATGGATATATACAAACAATATGAACAGTATTTATTGCTAAATTTCATATATTTATTTATTATTATGTACTATACATGTAGAAGACTCGCTTATGTTAGCCTCAGATATGGATTTCGCTGATCTATACAGCATACTATTTGTACACAATAAAAGACGGTAATAAAATTAAATTATGGAGCTTTTGAGTTGTAACCCATTCAGCTGAAACGGCCGAAACCGTCTGTAAGGAACCAATATTCAGCGTTGACGCTAACATTCCCTATTATTTGGGCGTCGCCCAAATAGAGTAATCGAGTTCACTTGTGTTGATTCAGAGTTGCAATAGGCATGCGACACGTGCGAACGTAAACATGCCAAGCGACGCGAATGTCTGCCGCGCGCTGTGTTACAACACAACATTTATCTTCGTTACATTCGACCCACAGATAACGCACGGCAAACAAATCGGCGATAGAAAAAAACGTTTTTGGAAAATCAAGGTAACCTGAGTGAAACAAACTATTAAATAATTCAAATTTTCCCTTTGGAAAATGATCTTCTTCGCAGCACACAGTGTGAATGGTTTGGCTTATTGCCAAGAGTTTGACAATATTTTTGCTCTCAGTTGTCGAGCGCCAAAGAAGATGTCACGCAAAATTCTATGATCTCGTGCATGAGATAATTAAGGGTGACGTTGAATGATGCATAATTTCGTTGCATATTTTTGGAAAGGAGGTGATTTCTTCAAATCTCATTCAATTTGCATTCATTGACGGTCGAACCGTAAAAGGGGCAGAGTCCAACATCTTCACGTCCAAACCGCGTTCTGTTTTTAAAACCCTTGGGTTAATTAGATTTTAAGTCGTATTCTCTCATACACGAACCACGAAAGCGGCAAATTCCAAAGGTTTCACATGCAAACTGTGCCGACAACACAACTTACAGTAAGGGCCAGATCACATGAGCTGGAGGAGCAATGCGCATGAACAGATTATTACCCGCTGTCCTGTTTCTCGCTTGGTTCATTCGCCGGACCGCCCGGCAAGCTTGATTACTTGAAAAATTTCCACCCGGGATCCCAGTTAACTGGGCTGGCTCGATTGTCATATAATCGGAAAGTCGACGCCCAAATATACGCTCCCACAGCGTCTTGTTTTTATAGGAGAAGACTCCAGCAGTTAGCATGATGGTTATCAATAGTCGCGCTTCAGTAAGCTCACCGTATTTATTATACTCTTCTCATTGACTTGCTCGATTGTCATATAATCGGAAAGTCGACGCCCAAATATACGCTCCCACAGCGTCTTGTTTTTATAGGAGAATACTCCAGCAGTTAGCATGATGGTTATCAATAGTCGCGCTTCAGTAAGCTCACCGTATTTATTATACTCTTCTCATTGACTAAGAGCCTACAGCTAATTTTGGAAATCAAAGCAGCCTACAGGTTAGTTAGTTATCTGCTAGCTGATAACTGACCAATCTGTAGGTTGCGCGCGCAATGCATGATTTCCAATAACAATATCAATTCAGGTTCTTTGTGACGGTGTGTTTGTCGTTATTTCCTTCAAAACAATGTATAATAAAACAATTATTAGATTCGGTTTTTGTGATATCCTAAATAATCAAGGTCTCGGTAAGTGTTATCAGCCTCGGCCTTCGGCTCGGCTGATAACACTTACCTGGACGTTGATTGTTCCGGATATCACAAAAACCTCATCCAATAATTGTTTAATATTAGGGAGCTTAAGGAATGATGTCGACGAAGGCAACGAGAACGGCAAAAAAGCAATAAGCAAAGATTAACAAAACAACAACTTCCCACGTGAATCGCGTCTTTTTTGTACTTTTCTTTGTCGTCGTTGTACAACCCGACGTGAAAAGGTTTAATTTGACGTTTTAAATGAAAATGTTACTTAGAAATGGATCTTCGCTCTTTCAAACCCTATCGCGTATATTCACCCTCGTGCGTAAGCGAATTTTCCAGGACAGGGGCATAGCTCGGAAGGTTTCGGGCTGGGGGGTCACACTAGGTAATACCTATGGTACTTAAGTAGAGGAAAATACATTAACACCGATGACTTCCTAGTCTTTTTGTTTTTATTTACGAATAAAATGCGGAGGAAGCTCTTCAAGATAAGGTCTTGCTGTTTTAAAGTAGTTTAGCCCATTGGATCGGTTTCCTAGTTATTTCAAGGTCGACGAATGTCTTTGATTGGTTGACTAAAACCTAAGGAAAGTGTTCATTGATTAATTCACGTTGTCGAAGGAATAAGCGAGCCGTAACGTAATTATCCTCCTCTTCCTACAAAATGTCGGCTGTTTTTCCTCCTACTGAACTCCTCCTTAATTTTAATTGTTTTCCCTCCTGCTCCTCCTCCTCCTCCTCAGTTTCAATTTTATTCACTCCTCTTACCAGGAGCCCATGGGCTCCTGCTCTTACTTATTTTTAGCGTTTCCGTCTCTAACGGGACTAATATCATTACCATTTCCCATCTAATAGAACTGTGTTGAAGCGAAAGGCTGATGTGGGGTCAATGTTTGGACGATGTAGATTCAATGTGGGGCCAGTGGATGTAGGGTCAATTCTGTGTATGTGGAGGAGGAAAAGGATGGGGGGGATCTAGGAGGGAAAACAATGGAAAAAATTAGGAGCAAGAGGAGCAAAAACAATAAATAATGAGGAGGAAGAGGAGGTGGATCTAGGAAAGGAAAACAGTAGAAATGAGGAGGAGGAGAGGTGGGGTAAGTGCTAGAAAGAGCTAGTTTGCCTTCGAACTCATTCTCAATTATACTCCGTGAACAGGAACTAGAACAATTTGTACAATGTTGTCTGCAATGGACAATGAAAGTGGCAGGAAATAGAACTTGCACAACTGCGGGAAGGGGGTGTGATAAGCCCACAAAATATAGCTGCATACTAAACTATGGGTCACGTGGCGAGAAGGACTGAGTATGCTATGCTGTCTTTTGAGAAGCTAAATTTTGGCTCATACAAGAATCACGAAAGAAAAAAATTTTTGATACAAAGCTAGAAACATTCGACAAAGTGAGCTTTTGATACTAGTAAGTAGGGATTTCCACAATTTGCTCGGCAACTTTTTGGCAACTTCTCGTATTTCGAACAATTTTTTTCGTTTCGAGCAACTTTTTGCGTTCTGAGCAATTTCTCTAGTTATCTTCTAATTCTGAGATATCGAAACAGCTTTTAGTGCTTAAATTGACCGTTCTTTTATATTTCACAATAGGGCCATTTATACGAGGAAAAATAAGTCGCGTCTTACACAAGACTCGTCTTAAATAAGACGCGAACTGTACCATTTATACGAGCATGTCTTATCTAATAAGACGCGTCTTAGCTAAGCCGCGTCTTATTTTAGACGAAATGTGCCGTTTATACGGAAAGTTCGCGTCTTATGTAAGACGCGTCTTATTTTTCCTCGTATAAATGGCCCTAATGTTTTAGTAGACAATTTATGAATTTCCTGTAAAAAAGGGAGCCAAATCATGGGCGCAAGATAAAAGTAGCCGGGTTGCTAGGTCAGCGGTTTTTAGAGAAAATTCAAAATGGTGGACGAAGATTCACACTCGACTGAGTGAAGAAGGTCATTAACTTAATCAGCTCATTACATTTTTTTAGGTCTTAATTGAGAACAAAGTTATTTAGCAACGCTGGTTACGCCCCAAAATTGCACAAAAATGCTCAGAAATCTTACTTTTGTTGTACAATTTGCATATTTTAGCATCAGACCAAAACAAGTTTTTGTTCTTTCGAGCAACGTTTGAGCAATTTTCGTTACAAAAAGCAACTTTCCATGTATTTTTGAGCACCTTTTGAGCAACTTTGTAAGAAATTACGAGAAACTTTTTGGAAAATCTCGAGCAACTTGTGGAAAGCGCTACTAGTAATGGCTATTGAAAAATTCACAAAATAATTGAAACAAAACCCGAAAAATGGAGGTTCATTGGGCTGCCGACTGCGCGATGCAGAGGTTGAATATCTATAAATTATAATTACACCTTTTTCTCGCTCCTGTCCCATGGAATGGGATATGTAGAAATTAATTATATGTATTGTCATTATGAAGTATGATCTTCTAGTCCTGAACTGTCATGAGTAGTGACTAAAAGGTTTAACCTTCCAGGGACCGCGGAGCAAAGTGAAAAGTGGGAGGGCTGACAATTGAAAATAATTTTTTCATATTGAAAATCGAAAAAAGGAATAAAATCATAGCATTTGATTTGTTTTTGTCGCGTGACTTTGCATACTTTATCTAGTATTTGTTGCTCTTTGTAGGTCGGCATTAGTGAAGATACCGAAATTCTTCATACGATTTTCATTCCGTCCAGCAAATGTGCTTGCGATCTGAATCACGTCCAAGCTTTCCGCTAATTTCTTATGACAATTAAGTACTGTCAAGTTGCTGAATCGCTGCTGTTTCATGTTCGATCTCAGCCATGTCTTTCAGATTCAATGCAAGAAAAGAGGGTCTCAATGGGGTGGTGGCTTTTACGGTTATCGGCTAATTTTTTTCAGTTACGGTTAACCAAAAAGTTAAAAATTGATTTCTTTTGTTTCAAAGAGTTAAATATTAGTAAATCTGTGTTTTTTGTATCTTCAAAGCAAAATAAAGGTCTTAGGATCATCTCGGGATAAACTGAAGCTATTCTTCTTGAAAAACGTTTTAACATTTGATAGATCATACTTTTTATAAAGTATTCCATTTCTAATATTATTTTACGCGTAGAAATGTCAATAGTCAATTTCAAAATAATCTTTGGGAAAAAGCAAAAGCAGACACGCCAACGCCCAAATCAAGGCCGGGGCGCGACATTCATTTATAACAGAAATGGCCGTTTTCATGCTAGAGACGGATTATTCGTACGAGATGGGTTATACGTTTGATAATTCGCATCAGATAGGTAATACGTCTTAATTTGAAAATGGAATGGTTTTAATTTTGAATGAACAATCCGCCTGACTTAAACCGTCAATTTTGACGGACAGTTTATCTGTTCAGATCATCCGTTTCAGATAGCCTATGTATAGCCGCCACTCCCCTCAGAAAAAATCGAAGAAGGGGTGTCTGTGGGGGAGGGGGCGACTGTACA